AAAACTAATTATTATTACTTTTCAGGGCAGTTGCAGATGGCTGATCAATCAATATCCAGCCCCGCCTCCTTTTAGGGATTGAGGGATTAGAAGTCCCGTTGCAGGAGAGGTAAAAAAAAGGGAAAGCAGCAACAGTTGCTTGGAACCAACTTTTGCAAATTGCAGCAATAATTTAATTTATATATAACCTTCCAGTAGCCTAGCCTCACTTCTTGAAAGCACTCACCCGCTTGTACTCCCTTCAAAATTCTGTCACTCAGCCATAAACTTTATACCATATTGGGGGATATGGTTTAGGCGTGGACTCAGTAGAATAGGGTTATAGGTTGGGCTTGATGATCCCAAGGGTCAATGTTTCTATGATTCTATGAAAATAACATTTTAAATACTTCCTGAGGGCCAAAGGGAGAGCTTTGAAAGACAGATGCAAGCTCTTGCCTCCACACATATTCTGCATGGGAGCTTCTGGCCAAAAAAAAAAAAAAATCCCTTCAGTGAAAAATCTGCTCTTTCACTTCAGCTGTCAGAGGGACAGCACAGACAAACAGCAAACAGGGGCTGCTTGTGTTCTCTGGCTGCTCAGGTGACCATGCTCCAACATCAGCAACAGGTGGCAAAACAACTCTGAAAAAGGGGCCAGGAAGAGAATGTATTTACAGTTTGAAGTATCAACACCCCAGAACAGTACAAACCATATCTATAATTAGGAAGAGGATCACAGGTTGGTTCGGTTCAGCTGCAGTCTGTGCCGGTTCACTGATCGGCACTGATACTGCAGAGGAGAGATTCAGCTTATCGTGTAAATCTGTAGCTGGAACATACAAAATATCCAGTGTGACAAACACAACCGTGCCCTTAAACAAAAGTAAACGAAAGAGGAAGAAATAGAAGATTTCAAACATGGTGCTATGAAAAAGCATGTGTAGGAAGATACAACCACCTCTGGTAACATTGTATTAGCACACATCAATGGGTCCAGAACTCAGCAGGTGTTTTGAGGCACCTCCTTTAGAAAAACCTGCACCAAGCTGGCATCCAAAGCAGGACACAACATAAAATTAGAAGTTTTCTTGTGGGATAAAAGACAAACAGATCTTTTGCAAAAAGCAGCTTTGATGTTAAAAAACACGTCAGAGGAAGATAAAGCACAGGTGTCATAAACGCTGCACAGAAAGCTTGAGTAAGTAAAGAATTTTTATTTAACAGTTTGCATTTTAAATACAACTTTTGGGAGATGTCAACCTTATACTCAGCCTCAGTGTTGACATAAAGTCCTTGCAACAAAGACACATGGTGTTAATGAAGTTGGTAAATCTTTCCTTCTCACCACTCATATCCTTGGCTCTATTTTTGCTGTACATTGGACTTCAACGAATTTCACTTGAATTTCCATTCTTGCACCTTACCTACTGGGAATGGGCTAGATATCAAACAACTGTAAGTAAAAATATTCCTGAGTTTCTGCACAGTATCACATTTTCTTAATAACGATCCATTGAATCTTCAAGTCTTTTTAATCTAAATGCTGTCCCTTCTTCTCAAAATGATGTGTTTCCAGTCTTAAACGAGGCAGCGATTTGCAGCAATGTCATCATTGCTTAATTTCAATTCCTCCCCTCCCTTGGAAGAAATGTTTTCCTTCTACAGTAACAAACCCACCTCTCCTTGGTTCACTCTGGCAGAGAGACAAAATGAGACTGCCTCAGGGTGACAGATTAGTTTGTTTTCAGCAGCTCCTGTATTTATGGCTGTATTTTCTGTTCCACAGTTCAAAAACCAAAACAACAATCTTTCCCACAGCACAGTTGGGGACTACATGTACACTGGGAAACCTTGCTACAAGAAAACAAATACCAGAGCCAGAAAGAAGGTCCCAAACCACATTTTCTTAGTATTTTTTTTTCATATATTACTAAATTACAGTTTCAATAAAGAAGTAAAAAAATAGGAAAATATTTGGAAAGCGTTTGCAAAATACAAGCATTTTCTCAAAAGGCATTAATTTTCAAAACTACTATAAACGATATTTCAAAACTGCTATATGATATTTCAAAACTAGTGTATGATACTTCAAAACTAGTGTAAGATACTTAAAAACTACTATAAATTATATTTCAAAATTACTATATGATTTTTCAAAACTAGTATAAATGATCCAAACACTCAGTGAGTTACTGAGACAGTCCCAACCGATATACAGAACACACCG